GACGCTCATTTTTAACGTCAAAACAGATCATATCAATCAAAATTGACGCTTGGTATTCGTCGAATTTTGATCATGTGATCTGTATAAGAGAAAAATGAGCGTCGAGCGTCAGCATGAAATCGTATCTTAATACTTATAATGTATAATATTATGTATATATTTCTAAAAAATTACATTTTTTTCTATAGTTATCATCTTAAAAGCAAATAATCAAGGAATCATTAAGATATATAGTCAGAAGCGCACAAAAGCTCGAATAGTGTCATTTAAATACTACTAGCCGATATTATAAAACGTATGAAAAAACAATGCCGCAATATAAATCAAGTATACATTTTGTAATGTAATATTTATATCATCATGTCATAATATCAATAAATATTAAGAAATGAAATTATTTCAGGTATAACCTTTATGGTAAGTATATATATTAAAGCAAAAAAGATAGAGATGTAGAGAAGAATAAGGAAGGAAAGACTGAATTAATAAAGCTTCTGTAACTTCTGAAATTAAAATAGAAGTTATACGACATGCAACAATAAAGTAAAGGACGAAAAGAAAGAGATCAATGCTAAGGATTCATGGATATATTACACCACTAATATGAGAAATTTGAAAGAGAAGGTACTGCTTAATATATTTTTGCAATAGAATTAAATATAATGTATCTAGAGTTTAGACGTTTATTTATAAGTTACAAAATGTTTCTCAAAACACAGTAAAATAATAAAAAAAAAATAAAAATGGTGAAATTAAAGTCTTATGATATATGTATGATGAATAATTATCCAATCTTTTAGACGTCTTTTTCAGAATATTCATATTGGCTAATATATTTGAAATTAAACTTTGGTTTCCTTTTTCCTTTTTATTTATATCTAAAAGTTACAACTGAATATTACATTAATTTTTTGTATATGGTTTCTTGCCTACAAATTGGACAGTTAACTTTGATTTTTCCACTTTCTACTTCATCGTTTAACAATCGAAATGCACATTTCATACAAAAAATATGCCCACAATATCCTGCACCAAAATTTTCGATAATCATTTCATCCCTACATACAGGACACTCTAAAGGTTCTATGTCGTCTAATTTTACATGTCGTCTTTTACATTTAGTACGTTTGCAAACATTTTTTTTAAAATCACCACATATATTCGTGCTTTGTAAAGTTCGTCCGACTTCTCTCTTGAGGTTATCCGTTGGTTTTCCCGTTGTTTCATAGCGAAGCTGTTCTACGCCAGTACAATGCAAAAATGGACACTTCTGATTGCGACATGTAGTATTTTGAAATTGGAAACAGTATTTATAATTGTGCAAAAATTCACAATCCATATCAAAGCAGTTACCCTTTTCAAACCGTGTACATTTCTCAACGACTGCTTTCCTGAAATATTTTTGTACATACATACAATGAAACAATATATACATAATCACAAGCTTCATTTAATCATAAGACATTAAAAAATCTTACCGTGATCCGTAACAAGACATATTTCGAGAAAATACAACAGAAACAAAACGAACGCAAAAAAACGACAACAGCAATATAAACACCAATGGCAAAATAAATGAAAATTAAGAGATATTTAA